GGGTTTTTGGAGGCCAATTCATTAGTGTTGAGGGTAATTGAGTAGAATTAATGAACATTCAGAGTGATGGGGGTTTTAGGGTGTATTAGTGTGCCTCGAGATGCGTGTCAAGAGTCCGAACATGGGGGAAGTTTGGAGCCACTTCCGATGAGTGAGTCTTTTGGAGTAAATCCGGTTTTGGTTCTGACTTATGTTTTGGTGATTATAGATACTCCAGAGGAGGTCCGCTTTGACCATTGACCATCTGTTCGAGATTTGGTGCTCGGTTTTGATGTATCCGGTGAGTGACAGTACTCTCTGTACATGTGTTTGCAATCCAATTTTCTGTTCGTTTTTGTGTGTTGATTTCTGAATTATGGTATTACTTCCGGGACATGAACCTATCTATTTTAAAGTATGATTAGCTTGAAATTATTTCTATAATTAATTATATACCTGTCTTAGTGATACATGCATTTTTAAACGTAAATATGTCTAGAGTTTTGTGTAATTCGGGTTTTGATATGGAGTGTCAGGGGGTCATACCCCACCCCATAACTCGAGCGAGGTGTGATAGAGGAATAGAGTTTTAGCAACCTCTGACGTTCGGGATTCATCGAAGGAGGCCAAACCTTATTCGACTATCGTACCTACTAAGTCCTCTATATAACTCACATCCAAATAACTGAATAACATAACATAACATAACTGGAGAATTAAGTCATTATCATTATTGAAAATATAATTACTTTATGTAACTTTTTTTTTCCAAAATAAAATCTACATATAATACAATTATTTAACTTTCACTCCCAAACAACAACCCAAACCAGTTACTATTAACATAAATGGGGCACAACCTCTCTAGACTCGAAACGCTGCTGTGCTGGATGCACGTGATACATCTACAAGTCTTTACTGTTGAAACCTGAAAAATAAGTAAGTGGTGAGACTTGCGTCCTAATGAATGGTCTTCTAAATAAAACCAGTGAAATAGGAATATGTCACATAATATTGTAAATAAAAGTAGTTCGTAAAACTGGCATAACTGATATAGAATATTATATCGTGAAATATCAATTCACTGATCATAATTTAAAAACAAAGCTAATTTACCTGTTGAGACTGCAAATCCACCCATAGTAAAATGTCTTATAATGGTTAAGGATGGAAGTAAAAACGTAACGGCTCCATAAATAAACATAAGATCTGACGTGCACGTAGATATAAACATAACATAATGAGAATCTACTGGGTGCTACTGGCCATGAGACTCGTTCCATAGGACACCACCCCCATGGATGAACACACATAGCTTGTTGGTGTCATAAGGCCCCACTGGACAAATAATTCGTGTAGTACTACCACACTAATCATGGCTACCCAGTGAATTATCTAGGTGAATTGCAACATTTATATAAATAACATATAACATAAAAATGAGATCCTTGTTTCCATTTCACTTAGTAAAGTAATTATAGTATATAAACTAAAAAGTATTTCTGGAAAAGTAAAAACATTTGGTTTCTAAATAAATCATTTATTTATAACAAAATTGTCAGTTCCATTGTTTTGGGAAAATACTGAATTTAGGAGAAAGACCACTCATCTCTGCTGATACTGTGTATACCCAGACTTAGTCATATTGGCCTCACTGACTGGCCGATATATTTTTCCTAAGGTGTAACCATATACGCTATTAAAAACATGCCAAAACTATGTATGAATGCATGAATATACTAGTGTATACATGAGATATATTCCTCGTTAAACTGTTTTCGACCCTTTTATTTAAGATCAAAATTTCTATTATATACATACTTCAAAAATTCTCAAAATATTATTATATACACATTGTCAAGTTAGATATACTAGAGTATATTCACGTTCACAAAAGGAGTTATAGTTATTTTTTTTATAAAAAATAATCCATAAGTGAGTCGGCGAACTTCTAAATTTGAGTTTAGATAAATTCTAATATCAACTTAACCTTATTTTTACTAAAATAACTAAGTCACTTTCTCAACAAAATTAATATGAATTAATAAAAAAAATAAACTTGAACCGGTAGAAATTATCCCTTGATTTCTCACTATAAAAAAAGTACTTAATCTAAAATTTAAACCAATTAAATGAAACTAAAACATGACTGGATTGAATATACAAAAAATATTCGTTGAAAAACTTACTTGAAATTTGATTAAAATTTTCTTGCTTTCGTTCGGTTCCCAGTGTCTATCTTCTTGCTGCTTCCTTCTCTCTCTCTCTCTTTCTCTCTTATGCTCTTTCTTTGTGCTTTTTTTACACGTCCAAAACAAGAAACTCACATTTTTTTATAAACATTTTAAGCCGTCCACTTAGGCGGCTAGAAAAATATATTATATTATTATATTAGTATTTTATTTGTTTATTCTTTTTCTTTTTTTATTTATTCAACAAACAATCAGTGATGTAAACTAATGAAAGCTTTGCCACCTCACTTGAGGCAATGGGCTACGTGAATGATTATTTTATTATTTTATTATTTTGTTATTATTTTTACTATTTACTATTATTACTTTATTATTATTATTACTGTTACTATTATGTATTACGCCTTTCACGTGTTTCGCGTGGAAGGATATATATCATTTTTATTATTAATTTAATTATTATTATTCTGCCAGTAAGGATTTGCAAAATAGCCTTTTTGCCCTTACAAAATTAAGGAACCTTTTTAAAAAAAAAAAAAAACGTAAATCACTAATATCTTCACTAATCCTATTTATACAGAATAAAACATACCACACATGATAAAGGTTTTGGATTGGGATGTTACACAAGGACTCAGCCGACAGGCGATGCGGCGCCATAGTGTTCAGAGAGTGCCCTGGACCCAATGATGTGATATATGTGATTCCGATTTTGGTTCTGACTCTGGCATGGGATCCCAGTGTGACAGATATGGAATATGTGACTTTGATTCTGATCCGAGATGCCAAGGGTTCAGCCGGCGGACGTAGGTCGCTGTAACATTTGGGGAGTGCCCTAAGTTCATCCATGACTCTGACTCTAATACAGGACACCAAAGGCTCAACCGGCAGATGGTGGGTCGTTGTAGCGTGCGGGGAGTGCCTTTGGTCCATTTGTGATTTCGATTCTGATACGAGATGCCAAAGGCTCAACCGGCGGATGGTGGGTCGCCATGGTGTACGGGGAGTGCCTTGGGTCCATTTATGACTCTATTTCTTATATGTGATATGTGATACGTTCTGATACTTCGACAGATTTCTGATTTTTCAATTCTGACTGTGCATATATAGAATACATGTGTTATATGAGGCAAATGCGATTTTTTATAAATGGTGTTATTATTTGGACATGATGCTTGTGTTTGGAATGGTTATGATTCCTGTCCCAATATGTGTAAAGTAGTACTATTATCTACTAAGTTTTGTACTCACCCTTTTTCCCTCCCACTTTCTAGATTTCTGTATCGATTGGCAGTGGTAGCTCCAGTGTCAGATTCGCCACCACTGCACTGACTCGATTGTATGGGCACTTTTTGTATATATTTTCTTTTGTACTCTAGACGCTCCATGTATCATTCAGACATGTTTTGATTTACATATATATGTGATGGTTATTCTGAGAATATATCTTTTTGCTGTTAGAGTTTGAAGCTTACTAGGGTTGATACGCCAATCCTGGTGCCGGTCGCGCTTTCGGGTTGGAGCGTGACAAATTTGACTTCCGATCAAATTAGTTGATAAGAAAAAATATCTAATGTAAATAAATAATAGATGTATTATCTAATTATAAAATAACAATACTATCTACATTATGATAAGAATGATAAAATTTAGATTACAGAAATTTAAAATAAAAATTCCAAATAAAATTAATAAATATAGTAAAAAATTACTAGTTTTATTTATTTTTGATCAATTTCTACTTGTCAAATTCTAATTTCAATTAGAAGTTACATTGGAGCCATTTACCAAGCTAATTTGCGGTCAGATCTCAATCAACTGGTCAGGTCTAATTTTTGAAAACAATACTTACATAAAGCGAAAGTGAAAGTCGTTTCGAGTCATTCGATGAACCTCAACAAGTGTTATCTGAACACCTCACGGAAAAATCCAACATTTGTTTCTATGACATTGGCTGGCAGGCGCCTAACATAAGTAAGTCTTCCCCAGACGAAAAGTGAACCACATGGCCCGGTGTCCTTAAACTGGTGTCTACACTGAGGATTTGAATTTTCAAATGTCGTCGTCAATCAGTCGGTAATACAGCAAAATATTGGACTTGTTAGGCAACATTTTGATGCACCTACCAATGTTTGCAACGGTGCACATTTAATTACCCGTAATAGTATTAACTAATACATACAACTAGGATAAACTATCCACGATCTGCTACTGCAACTCCCAGTAACAGAACTTTGGGTGCTGTTTGTTTGTAACAAAAATAGGCAACACTGATAACCAATCACTTTATCAGGCACAAATAAGCGGGACTCAGGCCCAAAAGATGCCTTAATCTTGGGGAAAGTCATAAAATGAAGAAGTCCTCAACTCTCGGAACTAGTTAAAAATACTAGAGAAGTTGGTCACCCACGTAACCAATCACTTTGTCTCTTATTCCCCTAATTAAGTCCTCCAAACAGATCGCACAATTAACAACTTTTTCATCACTTGAACACCCTTTAGAAATAGGTTTCTGGTTGTTAGATAACTTTAAGGTGTACAGGAATTCAAAGATTATTTCTTGTGGGTAACTTCTTGTGATTTATTTTCAGTGATGACAATACACCCGATATGCAGAAAAAGAAAAACCTTCACCGGGTTAGGAGAAGTCGGCCACCCAAACACTGTCTCTCTTTTGACTTTGACTCCTCTCCCCCAACTTTCCTATATAAGCCACCTTTCCTCTCTTTCCCCTTCATTAACACCCTCGGAATCACAGCTCTTACCTACCTAGCAAGAAATTAATCTGTTTTTCTGCTTCTGAAATATTCCCAATTCAACAACTTGGAAATGGCCTGTCAAAGAATTGGGGTGGCTCTGGCCCTGACCATGGTGGCGGCACTCTGGGCGGGGGCGGCGGCACAGTCATCGTCGGGCTGCACGAACGTGCTGATCAGCCTGTCGCCATGTCTGAATTATATCACCGGTAACTCATCGACACCATCCTCCAGTTGCTGCTCGCAGCTTGCGAGTGTGGTGAAGTCGCAAGCTCAGTGCCTGTGCGAAGTCATCAATGGTGGTGGATCCTCCTTAGGGATCAATGTCAACCAGACACAGGCTCTGGCTCTCCCTGGTGCTTGCAAGGTTCAGACCCCATCCATCAGCCGCTGCAATGGTAAGAATGTTTTCTGATTCCTATTTCCCAAAAACAGAAGAAATAATGGCTTGGTGCGTAGACTCGACTAGAAATTGCTCTGGGAAACAGTTTTTGGATTAATTTCAAAGAAAAAGTAATCTCATTTTATACTTACTTGAAAGTTTCAGGCCTATTATTATGTTTCTCTTCTATTATTATTATTATTTTTTTTGTATTTCTGCACAAATATAACAACAAAAATCTTGAAAAAAATTATTATTTTCACATTCTTCTAATTTTCGGGCAAAAATAGTTCTAAAGATTTTTAAAAACAATTTGTTGTTGGTTTGTTAAAAGAACTTTTTAGTTTTCAAGAACAAATCTCAAACAAGCAAAACGAAAATCTTGTTTTTGTTATTTTCAGGACATCACTGTTGTCTCTGTTTGGCGTCCACGCTCTTGTTTCATACATTATCTAAAACAGAAAACATTCATATTCCCATATCATGTTCAATTTAAATCGAAAATTACTTTTAAAATTTCGAAAACAATTTATGTTGTCTGCTAAAAACAAGCCTTTATAAATATATTCTTCCACCAAAGAGGAAGATTTCATTCTACTAACTGGAAACATCTGTACAGGAGCAGCTGCTTCTCCTGCCGATTCCCCTTCAGCAACACCTGAATCTCCAAACACGGTGCCATCAACAGGTACAGTTTTCTTTATATTATTTTGCAGCATAATTAATCATTCCATTAACAAGCAGGGTTAAGTTTAAACAAATTAACGTTTTCGATGGTGTTTAATTCGTTGCAGAAACAGGGTCTAAGACAGTACCATCAACAGAGAGCGGCACATCAGATGCAAGTTCCATCAGGATGGGAGTTTCTCTGCTATTCTTAGTACTCTTCATTGCCTCTTACTCTTCAACCTCGACCACTTTTTGAGGATTAGTATATCCATTTTTAATTATTTATTATTATTTTGGTTGTACTTTGGTATTTATTTTTTGATGACCTCTTCCGAGGTTGATCATATGGTTTTGTATGACTGGAGACTACTTGTTCTTGGTCTCTTCGCTTCTCAATAAATACAATTTCTCATTATGTCAATTGCAAGCTTCGATTAAATTTAGAAGTATTACCACGTGCTACACACAAGATATTAATATCCTAATCTGTAATTAATACTGAGTACAAACATATAAGTACAGATATACAAATACATATAATAATATAATTTTGATGTGATAAAATATATATATCATATTATTCACAAGTGACAATCATTTGAATTAACAAATAATTAAAAAATTAAAAAAATTACCAATTTTAATATATATATATATATATATAAGCCCACAAATAAAAGACAATATGATGGATACAAATACCAGAATGAACTTAACTAGTTTTTGAAAAACCCACATTTAATTGAATCTATCTTATCACCAATCAAGCAATATATATACATAAAAGCCCAATCCACCTCCAAAATATGTAACATTTAGTTCACGAGGTGGTCAGTTGAAAGAAGACTAAACATGGCCATGTCCCTAGCTTTTCCCTTCTAAAAGACGTACTTTTTTGTAGGAGTGTTCAACAAACCGAATCAAACCAATTAGACCACATAAATCGAACTAAACTGTATGAAACCGAACCAAACCGTAGAGTGTGATTTGGTTTGAATTTGATGTTTGGACAAACTATATGAAACCGAATCAAATCGTATAGCTTATATATATACAAAATTAAAAATTTTATCTATATATATATAGTATATTTTTATTGTTTGACTGTATGTTTTTTCTTTTTGTTATCTTTTATGTTTATATTCATTTTAATAATTGATTATTTTTCTTTTTTAGAGTGTAATTTTTATTAGTAATAGTGAAATTCTGTAAAATGATATAAATATATTTATTATAAAATGTATAATTACTATAGTTAATTAATAAATAATGAATTTATTAAGTTAAACATATTGGGAAAAAAATGGATAACCAATTTTTAGGAAAATTAGGTTAAAATTTTTATAAAAATAGTGAATTTAATTCATTTTATTTTGTAAATCACAAACAGTAGTTTGAAACCGAACCAAACCGTAAATCGTAGTTTGGTTGCGTTTATAAAAATTCAAACCGTAAAGTATGGTTTGGTTTGAATTTGAGCATCAAACCGCACCAAACCGAACCATGAACACCTCTACTTCCTTGAAACACCTTCCCTCACAAACCCAACCATGTCCAACACCTTCCGTGACCCCTTGTTATTCTCATCTGAGTGAGGCCACTTTACAAAAATATTACAGGCTGCCATCTTCACCGCCCGTGTGGGGATTCCCTTGCTCCAGTAGTGTCGTGCCAGGACATAACCAATCTCGCTCCTACACCAACCACTGCCCATCCGGAGGGCGACAGAGGTTGCCCTGATAGCTCGATGCCCAATGTAGAGGCATGGAACCATGGGTGGGGGGTCAATACGTTGGCGATGTACTTGGCCACCGCTTCCTGGAGGTATAGGTGTCCCATTAACATAATTAGCTCACCTTGTCATTTGTGGCCCACATCGCGAAATCATTGACGTCAGAAGTTGAATGGTCAGAGACTTGTCTTGGGAAATGCATTGTTCGGTTCTCTATGGCTGTTCGATCTGTGACGGGTTTCTGCGAGAGAGTTGACTCCAATCTCATGATTCCAAGTCACCAAAATCTGGGCATTAGTTTCCAGCATTTGTGTTTGATTTGATTCATTGAAATATCGACATTCATTCCAGCCAATTTATCTCTTTGGAATTCAAATTCAAATTTGTTGGGTTACACGTCAAAATAAAGAATAGAGAATTTTAAAGTAGTGAAAATTTAAAATTTTTGTCTTGAATTATGTGATTAAATCACGTTAAATTTTTAATTCTATATTCCAAGATACAATTTGCATAAAGTTAATGTGAAAAAATTGATTTATACCTCACAAGCTTCTGATTGATGTAGGAATTGAGTGAATTCAAATCGCACGTAAACAACCCAGCGTGAACGTTGGAATGGTCCACGAGAAGTTTAAATGTATTTCTTCCAACGATATCCATATGAGAAACATACACTAGTGTTTAAGATTATGCTAAATATCTAAAAACACTTTTCTTAATTTATGAGATTTTCTATCAACATAACTTTTTGTTTAAAGGATTGTAAAGAATTTCTTCCTCTTAACTACTTAAAATTTTCTTTATTGATAAAGGTCTTCAAACCTCTATTTATAAAGAAATAATTTTGTATTTAGTTTATCATAAAATAGAAAATAATATCTATATTATTTAATTTAAAAATCAAATAATATCTATCTAGATAATTCATATTAATTATTTTTAATAATCTTCCAACTAATTTAGCAGATTTTATATGATACGATTAAATTATTAATTAATTAAATTATTTAATTAATATAATTATTTTATTCTTTATTATCAATTAATTAAATGACAAATCATTTAACTAATTAATTTAATTAATTAGTTCAAATAAATTTTTATAAATGATATGGACTTATTCGCCTTTGTGTATGACATATTAGGTTCACGAATTAGTTAGTAATGGACCAGTAACAAATTACGATTTAATATATGAATAATTAATTATAATTAATTATTCTGGTCAATTAAACACCTTTTAATTAACTATTCTTGAATTAATTTATATTAAAACAAAAGTACCCACATTTTACGGGATATGTCTAGCAACAAATCTGTAAAAATCTATAAATAAGTGAAGGTAAAATCATGAACCTTTTTCCATTTGTGCATACCATGCAAATACAATCCTTCAATTAACTAATCCCCCCATCAAGATACAAGATTTGAATAATATATCAATATCACAACAATCTTAATAACGATACATCTATTACAAACATTTGTTCAATGACTAATATAGGAAACTGCTTTTCTAATTGTTTGTCATATATCTTGTGCAAGAACTTTCAAAATAACTATCTGTAGACAGTATAGGAGACTCACCTATTCTGCTAAATAGGTAATGGATCTTATGTCCATCCTCGTAGACATCCGTATATGAATGGTTTATGCCTAACATAAAACCTCTTATGTGATCAACGTGTAATCGAGGAAAAACATCAAATCACAAGTACCTATATACAAGATCACAATGGAACTTCAAGTCAAAGGATTAGTTAATGCACTATCACAAACATAAAGAATTCTAATTTCTGACAAGCATCCAATAGAGACTTCTCTAAGCACTAATCACCTATGAAATGAGACACCCTCCTTATGAGCATATTATATACGTGCAAATTTAATCTAAATCTAGTCAATACCCCATTTCGATTTATTCTATGACTTAGAACGTTTAAGATTAAAATTTTAGAGACTTATTAATGATCATTATCTATATGCATAACCAAGTCCCGTAGTTATATATAGTCTAAGGGTTTCATACAAATGTAAAATTTACACATTTGATGAAGATGACCAGTAAATGAAATAATTACATATATATATTGAATGGAAAAATTGATCAAAAGTATTTAATTATACCAGTCAAATTGGCTAGTCGGCACTACTCTATAAATCTCCCACTTGCGCAATAGCCAATTGCCCTGCAAATCTAAGGCTTATGTTTTCAAGATTCCCTTCAAAAACTCTTTATGCTAAAGGTCTTGTTAGTGGGTTTGCTATATTCTCTATTGATACAACTCTTTCCACTTGAATGTCACATTTACTAATGATTTCTTTGTTAAGGTGATAACGTCTCATGACATGTTTGGATTATTGATGAGATCTTGATTCCTTTACTTAAGCAATGTCACCGTTATTATCACAGTATATAACAGTCGATTTTTCAATACTAGGAGTTACACCCAACTCTTGAATGAAGTTTCTCATCCAAACACCCTCTTTTATAGCCTCTAAAACTGCAATATATTTAGCTTCTGTTGTTAAGTCAATAGTTGTATCTTGTTTGTAACTTTTCTAGCTAACTGCTTCATTATTTAAACAAAACACATATCCTGAAATAGATTTAAGATCATCCATGTTTGAC